GCACCGCACCCTAGTGGTCAATAACTAAAAAAACAGGATCCAGAGTCTCATCACTATGAATGGACATATTTAAATGATTCGTTAGACTTTACAATTAGCTATTCATTGTAAGTTCATGTTTGCTCAAGTCCATGAAATAATATTAACAGATGCAACTTTTGTATCAGGAAATGTTGAAATGAACATTTATAAATGCTTTAGACACATTTTTCTGGGTTAGTGCTTAACTAATACAGCTAAACAAATGGAATTTTATTGTAAAGTCTTACCAAATTATTGAATTATTATTATTATTATATTGAAAAAAAATATTTATTGTGTGTTTAAGACGAGCAGAAGTAGAGTTTCAGCTTAAATTATCTAATGGTGCTAAAGATACTATTCTATTTCTTGCTTTCTTTTTTGTTGTATCCTGGTATAAGTATTTGTAGAAAGCATTGGAAACATGGTGCTTGTCCTCAGCAGACACTGAGCTCTGTTTCCAGGAAACTTCCTCCTGTGGGCCCTGTGCTTGTTTGACACCCTCTCAGGAGAGATACGACTCTCATCCCAGTGATGATTCTTCCTTCCTGTTATGAACTTGGTAAAAGAGTTTTTGGTCCAAGAAGAGAGAATTCTGTCTGATAGTTCACCCAAAAGAAGTATTTTTTATGTTTTGTCCATACATTGTAAGTTAGTAGTCATCACCAAAACAGTTTTGTTACCAACATTCCTAAATATTTATAAGTACTTTTGAAGAAATAAAGTCACATCGCCAAAGACTGATGGGGATAAGTCAATGATGACAGAATTTTCGTTTTTTTTTGGGTGAGCTATTTCTATGACATTAACATTTGTCTAAATATACCACTGGTTTCCACATTGACCAAATTTATAGGATAGAGTGACTCAGAAACAATAAAAACAATCTTTTTTGGGGTGTTTTATGGCTTTTGGTTCCATGACACACGCACACAGACGAGCTTGGGGAAAAACACACGCTCACAGACACATCCTGTGGAGTACCTGCATGCCAGCCACTGTTATTGTGAACACTATAAACCCATTTTCCTCATGAACAAAATGACATGTTAGTCTGAGAAGAGACCTTAATAGTGGCTCTATGCTATGAATTATAACATTTGGAATAAATGTTTATTGAAAACTGACTGACCACACTTGTGTGGCACACACACATTGCCATTCCAAAGTTTGAGGTTAGTAAGATTTTTTTTTTTTTTATGTATTATTGAAAGATTTTTTCAATGCTCACCACGGCTGCATTTAGTTTATCAAAAAATACAGTAAACGGTAATAATGTGACGTTTTCTTACAATTTAAAATAACTGTAATCATTTTAATGATTTGGTGTTCAAGAAAAAGTTGTGATGCTTAACAATTTTATGGAAACCATGATACTTTTTTTCAGGATTCTTGGATGAATAGGACAGGGCTGCATAAGGTCTATAATCAGAAATATTTCACGCCGAAACATTATTACATTACAAGTCAGAAGTATGGACACACTCAACTGAATTTATGATTCTATGATCTTTATGCTGTGAAAACTAATGTCTCTTAGAAAACTCTTACATTTGTTTTGTTTAATAAATTAGATTATTTTACTTTTATGGTGTTCTAAAATATAAAAAATACTATTAATTAAAACTCTTTAGGTTGCCCTATGTTTGAATGGGTGTGCATGCATCTTGTTTACTGATATACATTGACTGAGGGGGGTTTTATTGATCGGTAGTAAAGAGTATTCACCCAGAGCAGAGATTTTGATGCGTGCGGAGACGGAGCATGTTTCATTCCTGCGCAGCATACCAGAGAGAGAGGAATGTGTTAAAGGAGGTCACCATGGGTCAACAAGTATTTGCGGGACCTTGTTCTGTAGGTGATGGCCAGCCTTTCAGGTTCATGGGTGCTAAAGGTCAGATGTCACCCAGAGGGTTCTGTTAGTTATGGGTCAACTCATGATCTCTCTGTGAAAAGGAGCAGAGAAAGAAGTGATGAGAGCACTGATAGCTCAACTTATCTTTAATGGCTTCTTCCTGTTCTCTCCTTCTCTGCATGCTTTAGTGCTGCTTTAAGTACAAATTCTGCAATTCAGTGGTCAGGCCACATTGAATTAAACAAATATTTTGCAATATTCTCCAACATAAGCTTACTGAATAGCAAATACACACGGACACAGAATTTATATAATCGCACAGACATTCTTCATTCTCACAAGGACAAATAAACCCAACTCATAAATGTAGGGACAGAGCAAAATAAAATCCTTCCCATGGCATCTTGGTAAGCGCTTAATTAAAACCTTTCCCAAGTGTCCTGCCAATTTGGAAACCCCTTCATTTAGTAAACAAAGATCTCCAAGCAAAATGTGGTGGAAACGTGTTGTTGTCGTGCAACAGAATGAATATAAATCCGAGAGACAGTTTTAGATACATTTAATAAATAAAAAAAAACTGTTGGCAAACCTTTACTTCTTTACTTCCTTTACGTGACTCATGACACGTCTTCCTTCAGAACTCTGCTCAGGTTTCCTCTCTGACCTGCCGTGTCAACAGCCGTATGTATGGCACAAGCGTGTCAGAGGTTCACTATGTGTTCGTCCAACAAGCAAAACATGTGTAGCATCAGTCTCATTTTAACTCCAAAGCAGAAGCCTGTTGCTGATTGGATGTTGTAACGGACAACAAGGCCAGAAACGTACTCAAGTTTGTGTATGCTGGCATGCATTCTTGCTTTATTGTGGCAGTAAAAAGCATTGTACTCAAGGGGGCGATAGAGCTAATTCCGTATTAACTTGGACGTTTTTGTGCTCACTACTGTTCAAAAGGTTGGAATCAATAATATATTTATATGTTTTGAAATGACTTTTTTGTAATAATGTTACAGAACATTTCTATTTTTAATCAATGCTAAATGTTAGTTATAGAATCCTGAGAAGAAAATATATATCACAAAATATTAAACAACAACAGTTTCAGCAATAATAATATAGTAAGAAATGTTTCTTAACCAAATCATCATATTTGATTTCTGAAGGATCATGTGACACTGAAGACTGAACGTTTAGCCATCATGGGAATAATTGTAAAATAGTTATTTCAAATGGTAATAATATTTCACTCTCACAGTATTACTTTTTACTGTATTTTTGATCAAATAAATGAAGCCTTGGTGAACATAAAAAGAGACGTCTTTCAAAATCTTTGATGTTTTGCTAATTCGCTAATTTTTGCTAGTCAGTAGTTTACCTGAAAGTGAAAATCGAATTGTGAAATTATTAAATTAGTTTGAAGTATTTGACCTCTTTGAATGATGCTATTTGATCAGATCACTGCTTTATTAGTAATCAACAGAATTAGCTAGCTTTGATAAATGCAGAAGCTGTTGGTGTGTCTTTATTCCAGATTCACTATGTTTTATCTCAGCAGTCGGGCGCTTGGCCCTGGTGAATTATTTACGGCGTGGAGGGCCGTTGATTGCAGTGCTGAGGATAAAGGTTGGATCATCTAGCTGTGTGTTTTATGAGAGAGGAGTTTGTTATTAGATGTATGGAGGTTTTCTACTAGAACAATTGGACCTCTGTGTCGCTGGCTGCTGCGGGGGTGAAAGTTTAATCATTAATCATCCACACTGTATATTTACGGCCTGAATTTGTTTGCTATTCCCAATGTGAAAGTCAAACAACCTGATTGATTTTACCATGTTGACGTGTTTTGAAGTTTGTACAGTTGTAAAATAGAGATTTTCTCCTTTGATTAGATACATTTACACTAACTAAATGCTGGTTTACATGCTCATAAATTCAGATCTTGGACTTCCAGAAAATACAAAAACAGTTAACAAAAAATACCAATGGAATTACCTCATTTTTTAGACATGAACCATGCTAATTCTATGGTATTACTTAAGTAATCTCTACCTGCAGATCTCTCAGCCCCTCATTTTTCTCTGCCTGTGGGCTGTGTGTTAATGTTTGTGTGTTTGCCTATCAAAACACCTCTTTTGCTTTCATTCCAGTGTTTTCCTCCTTTACACGTCGCTGACATAGTTTGTGTGTGGTTAGCTGGATATTCTGGTCTAGGCAGGTCTAGCTGACTGATCTGCTGGTCCTTTATATTGTGTATATGGGTCAGTGGATGTGTTGGCCCTGAAGTCTTCAGTCGGTAAGGCAAGTCAGCTTTGACCCAGGATCAGATTTCTTTGGCAGACTTGGATTTGTAATGGGAAGGACCCCCAAAGATAATGATCGTCTTGTGAGGGGACAATATAAAGTAAAATTATTTAGTAATAAATTATATATTAATTAAAATATAAAGAAAGCTGCATATAAACTTTCATTATTTTAATATATATATAATATGTGTGTGTGTGTGTGTGTGTGTGTAGAAAAATATATAGAAAAACATGCAGCTTTGAAATTTTTCTTGATATTTTTACTAAGCTGCATGTTTAATACATATATGTTAAAAGAAACTGTAAAAAAAATATATTTTCAAGATTTGTTATCACAACATTTTTTCTGTTGTCAAATCAACTTAAATAATTTATTTAGTTCAGATAACTTATTATTTTGAGTTTCTGATGATTAAATCAATCTCCTTCATTGTAGTAACTCACTTTTTCCATTTCAATCAACTTAAAATTTTAAGGCAACCAGGTTACTTAATTTTTAAAGTTAAACCAACAATATTTTTTTACATTGTATATGGTCTCCCACATATTAATTATTAATACAAAAATATTATTATTACTTGTTTTATTATTACGCGTATTACTTTTTTCTTAGTGGTAGGATACATTTTGTAAAATATATTTTCTCTACACACCAGTTTGAAAGCCTCTGCCTTAGAGGATAGTAAGAGAGGGAGGGAAACCCAGAGGAGGAAGAGAAGTGGAGAGTCCGGTCGCCCTTCCGTGGTTGCCGTGCAACAGGAGGGGCGGGGCAAAGATCAGAGGGAGAGGTTGGGGGCTGGTTTAAGGTCATATTTCATCAGCGCTCTAGTTGTTTGTAATCCTAAACTTTGAATCCTACAGTATGTGGGTGCTTTCTCTGGACAACTGTCACCCAGAGATCAGGGGAACGCCTGGTCTGGCACTCTGCAAGGCTGACTTCAGCGAATGTGATTGTATCGGCCATGTGTGTTGAAGACCCAGGTGAGTGACAAACACACCTCGCGTAGTGAGTGCTGTGACGTTGGAAAGCCAGGAGAGTATCCGGTGGTGGCTGTCCTCAGCGGCTGGGAGATAACATGGTACACAGCTACAGACGCACCTGATCCTGTTACCGGCTAATGAAAAAGGAAAAGGACATGCAAGCTCATCTATCATTCTTCATGAACTTTGATGCAACTTGAATTTTTGTTTTAAAAAAACATTGTCTTATTGTCACAGTGGTGTGGCTTTTAAACCAGACCCATTCTTCTTGGTGGACTTCAAGCTTCAGTTGGGGGAAGACTAGCGATTTTCCAGCCTGCTGCTTGAGTTAATTACTGCTTGTGGATTGCAGCACTCGTGTTGGGATTTCCAGGACTCACATCGGAGGTTTTTTCTATCTAGCGAACAAAAAAGACAGAAAGTTGTCATCCAGGTTGCAACGACACCTGTGGATGTGGACCAGTGAATTTCTACGTTTGGTTCATTTTGTGAAGCATTTTTTTGGACAACAGATTTTCTTTTATTCCACTGGAGCCTCATGGATTTTAACCCCAATTACTTCATGATCCTTACGTATAAACCGTGTGATGTAGTTCTACTTTCAAGGCTTGTGAGAAACGCTTAGTCGTGGCTTAATTCTTCAGTTTTTAATTGACCTGGACCGTTTTGCCTAATTTTTAAGAGGGTATGATGAGGGACAAGCGTTCTGGGTCTTTTAGGAGGGACAGGGACAAGACAGAGAAGGCCGCCCCGATCTCTCGTGCTCTCAGTTGGCTGAGCGTGTCCTCGCTGTCACAGCAGACCCGTAAACTGTTCCGCAGCCAGAACAACCTCCATAGACACTCCCAAACTCCACATGGAGTGGATGAAGATGGTGATGACTGGGTGTATGAACCCCAGCACAACACAGGTGAGGATACACGGTTTCATGGCATTCGTGGGAGCATGTGTATATTGTGGCCTGAGATCTGAAAGGCTCCTGAGGTCTCCTCTTTAATGTCATCTAAAATTAGTAGAATAAGGTAAAAAATAAATTGGGGGTATGCACAATAATGTATAAGGAAAGTGTTATTTTAGATCCCTTTTTTGCTGTTTTAATCACCTTTTTTATTCAATGTTTTAATAGTAGTCTCTATATTAATGTCAGTAAAGTCTACATGAATAATAATAATAAAATATTTAGGTTTTAAATGTTTTTTTAATCCATTAGAGAACTTCAGTATCTTTGTAATTGGTTTATTCTTGTGTGGGACTGAGAATGTTGAGATGAGATGTTGGGAAATAAATTGTTCATTTATTTATTTGTTTATTTATATTTAAATAAAAAAATTAATTAAATAGATTTATAGTAAATGTATTAAAATAAACATATTCATTGCATTTTTTACATTTATATAAGCACAGTATACACGTACTGTCCTTTATAGAAACATACTTGAAGCTTTAAGGGTGCATTTAGATATTTTTCTTGTTGTATATAATAAAGTAGTGATCAATTTGCTCCATGGGATGTCTGGCTTAATAGCTAAAAGATTCATCTATTGTCTTTGGATGTATTGTTCTTGCAGGAAGTGAGAGTGTAAGTTGTTTACAATGAGGGAGAACTGAGGTCACTGTCTTTTTTATTGCGGGTTTGTCTTTGTTTGAGCCGTTAACATGTCTTCCTTATCGACAGGTTTAGTGAGGGCTGTAGGGCTGGACTGGAGACAGTTGAACGGAGGGCTTTGAGTTCAGAAATGGGAAGAGAGTGCTAAAAAAAACGGATATAGCGGCTTACACGCCTGCGTAAATGGGTGATGTCACCGACTGGTGGCGATTTGGTTTTAAGAGCCAATGTCAACTGTGTGTGTGTTCGGAAACAAGGGGAAAGTTGTAGTCGCTCTATTAGATCCAGCTGTTCAGCCCTAATACTGAATGTCTTAATAATGCTCTTTAAATGAATGGACCTTTTAAATTAAAGTAACATCTGCGTGAAAGTTGAGTTGAGGTAAGTGAAGCAAAACTACTTGGATACTGGTGTTTTTAGCTGAGAATTGTGAATATAATTGGTTTCTTCATGTGTTAAAATATGAAGTTTGTATGAAAACAAATGTGAGTCAATTAAAACTTTCAGGTGTTAATCTTTTCAGGTTGAAACTGATTTTCAAAAGCTGATGAAAAGATCGTCAATCTCATGCAAATCTCTTTGTGTTGGCCTAAATGTCCAGTGGCACATACTTTGCTTTGTGAATCTAATGACAAATCTGCCACTCCTCATGAAAGCAGAAACTCCACCCTGATATCCCTGTAGACTTTATGTTTATTGGTTGACCAGTTTGAGTGTGTGTGTGTGGTTTTGGAGCGGAGCTGTAACTCTACACTAGTTCTAATGAGATATTCCATCAGGGTAGAGTAAAGTTACTGTAGGGGTGACGAGTCTTCGTCCCGCTGCCACTGCTGACTCAGTTAACTCCCACGCTCCTCTATTTGACATGACTTTTGACAATCACATGATTGTAGAACAGATTTGCTTATTCATCTTTGTTCCAGAATGTGCATATGACGCTTTATCAATGTGGGTTTACAAATACCTGGTGCATTTATAGTAGTCTTCATTTCTACAGAGCTCTGAATCATTTTGTGTAAAGTCATAAATCAGATTTTATCTATCAAATGACACTCCCTTTTCAGCAATTGGCATAATATATTAAGCACTGATTGTGACATTCTCTACTCCATTAAAAGCCTTTTTAAGCAGTATTTTCCTAAATATTTTGCATGCAGTTTTTATGAAGTCATATTAATGTAGAGACTAGGCCTACATTTTTAAATTGGAAAAATTAAACCATTTTTTAATTCATTAAATGTATTTTGGTCACACTGTTCTAATTAAATGAATAGCAAATCAAAAGTAGAAAAAAACATGTCTTTTTCTATTATATGCATGTACAGTATATTACATTTAAAGTGAGCATGAAACAGAAGTTGCCATATTTCTATTGTGATCTCTATCCCTATATCCATGTGAAATGGCTTCTTGTGCAAGAAAAATGTAGAGCGGGACTTGATTTTGTCCATCGGGAATTGATTGGTAGTCTTGTTTGCCACTTACAGTATAGCGATCTCATCGCTCTCATAGGTAAACACGTCATCAGAAAAGAGGTGTTGTTGCAAGAATTAGGAAAGCAATTTTGATTAAAGATTACGAGGGCCTGTGAATTTTAAAAAACAATGAATTGCACACATAAATCATTTATAATAAATACGGCAGTATTCAATAAAAGATAAGAATTGACTTTAAAGTCATGACATGCACATATGCGTACAGACACACATGCGTCCCCAGTGTTTTCCCTGAGGCAGGAAATACACTCCTTTTCCATAGCAGAAAACAATACAGGAAATTTCTCCAAATGGCCCTAAATTTCAAGTCTATATTACAATCCTGATGTTAACAAACGTACAAGCTTCTAAATTTAAACATGTATTTATTCTTTTGGCACCTTTGCTGGTACACGCAGGCCTAATTAAACTGCCCTAACTGCTGCTCCTGTGCTCTTTATTTAAATGCATCCTATAATTTTGGGCTGTCAGGCTCTTGTAGTTGACCCATAATTTCAGAGTGCGGGCTGCCCGGTGTCAGGATGTTTTTGTCGGTTACTATGGCAGTGAATTGACTGATTGTTTGTGTGGCTGTCCTGATTCTGCCTGGGACGGGCTCTATGTCTGCTCTAGATAAATGTCTCAGTCCAAGAAGTCTTGGGACACAATCTCTGCTTTTGCTGCTTGTGGATCAATTGATGAGTTGATTTTGTTGAAATGGGTGATTGTGTAGGTTGTGTAGGTTTGGTACATTTCAATAAATTCACAAACCAGAGCAAAACTATTTACCCATCAGTTTCCCAAGGGATTTTTATACACATTGTCTTGATTAAACCTCATGCTTTTTGTTTGAATTATAAATATCTAAAACTAAAAAAGTCTGTCACTTTATCAATAAAAACGTATTTAAATATTAAATAATATATTTATTTAATTCTGTTGTACAGTAAAATAAAAGATGAATTGAGTAAGTTAGGTAAGAGATCTATATTAATTAGGCTGTTATTAGTAGATTCATGTGGCAATGTCTCAGTAACGCAATCTGTCTGTATACTGATATAAAGGCATGGTTAATCCAGATATTATGTAATAATAATTTCTAAGATAATTCTCTCAGTGTGATCGGTTCTTGTTTTGTGATCGACAGCGATGTGATGGGATAGTAGTCTTTAAACCAAGGATAGGCAATGCTGATCCTGGAGTGCCGCTGTCTGTCCTGCAGAATTTAGCGCAACCCAATTTAAACACACCTGAGTAAGCTAATTAATGTCTTCAGGGTTACTTACTAATGATAAAGGAAGGTGAAGTTGGAGTTAAACTCTGCAGGACAGCGGCACTTCAGGATCAACGTTGATTATCCCTGCTTTAAACGATTAAAGAACCAGCTCATAAGAGTCATTATGTGTATTCGACTTGAAGCGGCGCTGCACATCGGTGTGTGACATCAAATTACCGTGAGAATGATGTGAAAGCATCCTAAGCCGTCTCGCTAATGGCTCTCGCGGTACTTTGACGTCAAACACCGATCGGTCTGCACAGCGCTGCTTCAAGTTGAACACACCTGTTTTATTGAATCGGATTTCATTGGTCACGTTGTCTGTTTGGTGCGCACATGTTTATTGACATTATTTTGAAGATATTATCTTTATATCTTCTCACTTTCGTTTAGAGTGCAAACAAACTCATGTACTTTTCTGTTAAAACATGATTTATTTTGCCTTAGAGCTGAAAATTTAGAAGTGGAGAAATTAGTAAACACTGACATAACCTCCATAGAATACGCCACGATACTAGAGAGAATTTCTTCAGGTGTATCAACCACACTCATAAACTCATAAAATGTCAGAAGTTCACTTATTTACTACTTCGTTTCCTTAGTTTTGCTCCTTCCAAAGTATTGTCTGACTTTGATGGCTGCATTGGACTACAGCATTTAAATCTAACTTTTTTTTTTTCCTCTCTCTCTGTTCCTATGTGCCGTTTGTGATTGGCTGCTCTTTGTGACACTCAGGTAAGTGAACCTCAGTCTCTTTACTTCAGTAAATGACAGTAATTCTTAATCGCACAGAATAAATACTCTTCTACAGAATAAATAAGCTTCTGCAATGGCATTGGTAACTGAAAACGTTTATGTTGGTGTGATGGCACGCCACTAGATGTCAGTATTAAACATTTGCTCATTTGGAAAAATCCTTTTATCTAAAGCAATTGGTGTGGTGCATTTCAATGTGCTTTTTTTTCTTTTGTTTAAGAGCCAGCTAAACATCATAACTGTGCTCAGTGTGCTCATTTTCGCTTCTTTGACATAATTGAACCACACAGTATTTTGGAGATTTTGATACATAAATTTTAGTTGGGTTGACCCATTACCTTTTAATAGGGTGCAGAAATTGTGGTTTTGTCATACAATTTCTTTGTATGAACATTTCTTCTACACTAGTTTACAATAGCATAGTATTACAATTGATAATGTTGCCCCAGTCATTTACTAGGGTGTATATATGCTACTGGCACACATCAATACAAACTATTAATAGAGCATGTAATTGAATAACCAACCAAAATACAACATGCATGCATGAACAAGATCATCACAGTCACAGTGACAAATGACATATTTATTCATGGCCTCTACAGTTCCAGATAAACATACAAACCTTTCTCATTCATGCCTGTTGGACTAATTCGAACTGTCTGTGGTGTGTTTGGGATTTTAGAGAGCATTGATTTTTCCTCTTGCCAAACTCTGTTGTTGTCACCTACCAAGTGGTTTACATCACGGTTTGCCACTCTTTAGCTCATTAGCTGCTTTAATCATAAGTGTTTGTA